CCTTGCAGAGGAAGGCTAACACCAGGTTGCCATTTCACATGTCCCAGGGTGTCCAGCCTGCAGCCCTTGCCCAGGCCTGGTGCCTCGCCTCGGGGATCCCTGACGTGGAGCTGTCCTCACCTGACTGCACCCTGGAGGAGGTGCGGCAGTGAGAGGCAAGCTAGCAGCCCGGGAACTGCCCAGGCACAGGTGGACCTGTCCAGGCCTTCTTCCTCTGTGATGGGATCAGACCAGGAACTGCCCGGGGACTCTGCCGTGCTGTTAATTTATCTTATGATGTCAGAGCTGGAATGGACCTTACATCATCCAGACCAAACTGCAGCAGGAAGAGCTGTCAGCCATTCCTTTCCTGTCCTCACTCCCACTCCCACAGATGTTCAGTCCATTACAAAATCCTGACAATGCTATTTCACAGTGCTTTTGCATCTGCCTCATTTTCATCCCTTGTCCCCTGTTCCTATTCTGAGGCTAATGACTCCCCTCCTCACTATTGCAATAGCCACCTCACTGAATTCCTGGCCTCTGATTCACTCTCCTTTCAATCCATGCTGCCTCTGGAGAAAACTTTCCAGAACATGTTTATAAACCTGCAGCAGCTTTCAGGATAACATCTAAATTCCTAAGCATGGCATTCAAGGCTTTCATACATCCTGTCCCTGACTTCTCCAGGGTGAGTTTCCTGGTTCTCCCTGGTCCCACAGCCCTGGCACACCCTGCCTCTGAGCCGCACGTTAAGTACCTTGTGCTGTGATCCAGGTTTGAGGCGCTGACTCCCTGACTTGGCTCTCCCCAGTGCCAGAGACTGACCAGGACTCAGTAGGTGCCTGTTGACGGAGGCAGCCAGCTAGACCAGGAACACGTGTCTCCTGGCTGCAGCTAAGGGCTCTTTCTACCACACTGTACTTCTGGGCCCTGCTACTAGTGTGGACAGTGATTCTCAGCGAAGTAATTTTGGTCAGTCTCCAGGAAGAGGGTTGGGTGCCTTCGCTTCCACCCTGCCGCCCAACCCTGGGTCCCCTATCCCTTCCACCTTCTTACCTACAAGGGAGCCCCCACAGAAGGGCGACCCATTCCGGTGTGTCAGCATGGCAATCCAGGGGTTGGTGCCCTTCTGGGCTGGGCGTCCATTGAAGATCCTGGCCATCAGCTTCCGGGAGAACTTGGGGATCCCACACACTGCAGCCAAGAGAGGGAGGGACAGATCATGCTCTGGGCTCTGTCTTTCCCTTTGCCAGAGCTACCAGCTTATCACCCTTTGTTAGGAACATCTGTTATTTTTGGTCTCCCAATATCCATTTCCCCTTTCATTAACAGCACCCCATTTTCCCTCTGGGGTCCACTCTTCCCCCTTCTTAGTCCATATGTCCTGAGTTGGAGTGACCCTACTTCTGGTTCTAGGGGTAGGAATGTGACCCAGACCTGACTAATTAAAGACTCTCATCCTCTGGTCCCAGGGATTGCTCGGAGATGGGATCGTAACCCTAGTTAGGCCAATGAAAGTCTGACTTGGGAATTTTGCTAAATATTAGAAAAAGAGAAGGCTTTTCTCTGCTAGGGTTGCTAAGCTGCTGGCTATAAGCCCAGATCTGCCAATGATCACTTCTTTGAGTCTGCTGAGAATGATGCTACTAACAGAGAAAAAAGTAGAGCTAGAAGATGAGGAGAGAAGCAAGAGAGATTATATCCTGATATTTGAGGTCCTTGATCTAACCATACCTGAAGCCTTTTGGTATGGACTTTTAGCTATGTAAGCCTATAATTCTCTCTCTTTTTTGTTCCTTTAAGTTGTTTATGTTGGATTTCTGTCACATAAATGAAAGTCTTGACTAGTAAAGAATTTTCATCCTCTATCCACAGGGATCTCTTCTCCTCAGAGAAGCCCTTCCTCAGGGCCATGGGGGATTGAAGACCCCCACCATAAGTATCTGCCTGCTCCCTACTCTGTTTCCATTGACTTGGATTCACAGACATAGACACACAGAACCTTATAGATGAACAGATCTTGGAGACCATCTAGTCTTCCCTCTCATCACATAGCTAAAGAAACCGGGGCCTAGAGAAGGGAATTGACTTGCCAAAAGTTATTCTATGAGTTAGTGGCAAGACTCTAATTCTAGGTCTCCTGATTTCCAACTCTGGCCTTTACCCCACCACTAACTGTTACCTACGTGGCTTCCCGGAGCACTCATACCTCAAGATATCCGCCTTCTTTGTAGCTGTTATCAGGCTGGGTAGGGCTGGGGAAAATCACAGATGAATGTACTGCAACCTGACAGCATCTTCAGCGTCTCCAACATCATCACTCTACACGCGCTTGGCCAACTGCCCCAGGCTAACCTCCTGCCCCCACTCCCAGCAGATACTCCGAGCCTGCCGGTTGGGAACTTCCCCAACCATCCTCCTCTCCATCTGCTTCCTCTGTAAACTTTCTTCTCTTCAGAACTAATTCTAGGCTCTGGATCTCCTCACTTCCAAACTCATGGGGACCTGGCTTTGGGGATTCTCATCCCTCTCCTGACTCTTGCATCTCTCCTTTGTCTGTGCCTCCAAAACGTGGTCAAGCCATCTTATCCTAAAATCAAACTTCTGCTTTCCTTGCTTCTCATTCATTCCACAGTCTTTCCCTCTCCTCCCTTCCATAGTCTAGCTTCTAGAAAGAGGAATTGACAGTCTCCTTTGGAGGTGGATTCAGAAGAAGAAAGTGCCATGCTCTGTATGACCGTGGAAATAAAGTGGCCATTGCATATTTAATAGATCCACAACCACTGATGGAGATAGAATGGCTTTGGCCCATATGTGGAACTTCCACAGTGATATTTACACATACAGGAGGATACTATTTGAAATTTTAGCTCATGTATTCTTCATCCCTAGGAATTTCTCTTGCCCTGTGGCTCCCCACTTTTGAAGCTGGAGCATCCATTGTTTTAGGTGAGGCTAGATACGCTTTGACCTTTGAAAGAGCAAAGCAGAAACCAAAGTTTGGAAATATAGACTTTCATTCAAAGAGTTAGGCATTGTGGTAAAAGATTTATAGGTTTCACGGAACCAAAACCTGGAGAACTGAACATATAATTTTCACTATAAGCCATAGAGAAGGGAGGATGGAGGGCAGTTTCCTGCCTCAGGAAAGAGATAAAAATGTAGGAGAAGCCTGGAGAGAAAGGGAGGGAGGGAGGGGAGGAAGAGAGAGAGAGAAGAGGAGAGGAGAGGAGAGAAAGGAAGGGAAGGGAAGGGAAGGGAAGGAGGAGGAGGAGGAGGAAGAGGAGGAGCAAGAAGAGAGGGAGGGAAGGTTAGGGACTTTAAACACAGATCCTCTCCCAGAGCTGACAGTAGACACCTGGTCCCTGTCCCCAGGGATGTCCAGCGTGGAAGCATTCCTCTGGACTGTCATGTGGCAGGTGCCCTGTTGACTACTTCATCCCTCTTGACGCTTTCCCTCCTTGGCATCTGAAGCACTTCTCTTCCTATGTTTCTGATCCCTCTTTTTTGTCTCTTTCTTGGGGTTTCTCTTCTCCTTTCCATGCCTTCCAGTGCTCTGTCCCTTTTCTTTTCTGCAAACTTCCAGTAGATAATACCATCTCTGCCCACGTCATCATACCACCTATACCCTGATGGATTTCAAATCAGCGTCTCTCATCTGCCCTCTCCTCTGAAATATTCCTTCCTTCCTAACATCTCCAGCTGGATTGCTCATAAACTCCTCAAACACAGCAAAACCAAGCTCTGGTTTCCACCCTTCACCAACCTTCTCCCCTTTGTTATTCCAGATGTCTATTAATGTCTGCATGGACCGTACCCTTCTTGCCTCTCTTCTTCAACCCTCATATTCAATCAGCCACTAAACCAGTAAACAATCACCAGGAGAAGCAGAGAGTAATGTGTCTTCTCCACTCCATGTCACAGCGTGATTTCCACGTAACCTCATGACACCTCAGTGTCTCCATATGTCACAACATAAAGTCCAAATATCTAGAGGAAAGTAAAAATCTGAAATGTAATGGAACACAAGACCTGATAACCCTTGAAAGCAGCTACATATAAAGTGTAAAGCATAGTTTAGGTTTCTTTTAGTTTTCAGTAGTGTAAAAAGCATAACATTTTCATTATGATACAAACCCAGAACAAACGCATTGCCACACCCACACCCCCGCGCCTGCACTATTTCACACAACAGCCGTTACACCAAGCCCTGCCAACATACTACTTAAATGTTTTTAAACTCCCTCCGCCCCCACATCTGCACTGTCATAGCCCTAGGTCTGGTGGGTTTTCACCATCTCTCCCCAGAGTGTTTGCAGTAGCTTCTCAACTGCTCTCTGTAGCTCAGTGCCCACCCCGCCCCCACCACTTTCCACACCATGCTGCCCACTTCAGACCTGGTGATACAGAATTTCTCATGAGTGGGACCCAGGAATCTGCATTTCTAACAAGCACCACAGGTGATTCCGATAGACCCCAATTAGAGAATCACTAGTTACATGACAGAGTGCAAACTTAGTATGCAAGACTCTCAACTTTCCCTCAATCCTCACTGCTCCCACTCCACTCATGCATGCTTTCCTGCTCGATTCTGTCCGCTTGGACCCTTCTGTCCCATCTCCTAGCGCGTCCTTTGAAACCTCTCTGCAAAGCTCACCAGATCCCCTTCACTGTATGAATCTCTCCCTCCGTTAAGTTCTCATAGTACCGCAATCTCTACCCCTCTTACGACACTTGACTCTTTTAGCCCGTGTGAGACCTAGATGCACACAACCCTGCCTTGCATGCTAGTTTGAGCTCTTTGAAGTCAAGGACCTAAATGGCAGGTGATTCAATGAAGGAACGTGCATGTCAATAACCAACTCCATTCCTCATCATCCCTTCTTAGATGATGTCTGGGTGACAAAAGTTGTACTTTTTCTGTAATGAGAGGTATTTTGGCTTAATGAGAGGCCAGTTTCTCTTCATAGTGTCAAAGAAACCAAACATCAACAATAACCAAACTCTAAAACGAAGGCTGTTGATTATCCACAGAGGGTTTATTTCCATGTTAGACCCCTGACAGGAGAAACGGAGTGCCAGAGGCCCCTGACAGAGCAGTGAAGCTTGTGATAGAAAATATACAAAATATAGCATCCTTTACACGCACTGTTCATAGACATAGGAGTGTGTTTTCATGAACTGACTGGAAAAGGGGACAGTTCCCACTTGTTTTCTTGGAATCCCTCTCAGGGTTTCCCTGGCTGCCTTTCTCTGATGGAGAATCCCCAGGAGAGCGAGGTCCAGGGAGAAGAAGGATGATCAGCCTGGTGTGGGCCAGGGAAAGGCTGTTGACAATAGGAAGCACTGAGTGCTGGAGCTGGAAGGACTCTGAGGGGGATCTAATGCCTTCCTTTTAAAGATTGGGAAACTGAGGTCCAGAGAGGGAAAGTGATTTGTCAAAGTTTATACAGCCAGTTAGAGGCAGAGCCAGAGCTAGAACCCAGGACCCTTGTTTCTTCATCTCTTCTCACTTCCTTTCACTAGCAAGTTTCTGCTTCCCTTGACTCTGGTTCCTGGAAACCATAAGAGTGGATCTCTCTGAACATCCATGGATGGATGTCTAGAATCCATGGTGGATTCTCTGAAGAGCTCAGATCGTGGACACACTGCTCAGTCTGATGGATCAGGTCACTGCTAACGTCCTAAGCCCACCTTTCTTCCATTTTCCTGCCCAGAAGCACAGCAGGGCATAGTGTGGGCCTTTTCTTTTTCTCGGGATCCAGCTGAGTCTCCAGGCCTGAGGCTGTGGCTCAAGTAGTCTTTTCAGATAATACATTTCAAGGCTGGAAGTTTGCTTTGTGCTTGTCTGGAGTGGCAGATGTGGACACTCCATGTTGTCAGCTGGTATTGAGTGACATATGGGCCCAAATTACTGTTCTGAGTTGCCAGTAGGAATTTAGCGGGGTTGGGGAGCCTCCCACTGCTTTTGTTCTCCCCCACAGTCACCACAAACCATCCTAGCTTTCTCTTTCTCCTTTGAAATTCCTTTAATAGGGAACATGAAGGATAAGACTTAGACTGCAAGAAGCTTTTGGGAGAGAAATCTCAGGGACAAAACTACTTAAGGCATTTCACTAGGAGAGAGGGGCCTCTGGGGTATCACCCCTGTGTCCCGAAACCTGTGTGGTGTTCTCCTAGAAGAGGGACTAGACCTGTCTGTGCTCAGAGGGCAGAGCTGGGAAGATACATGGACTCAGCATTCAGCTCAATGTAAGAAAACATTTCCTAACAACCAGGTCCAAGCTCGGTTACACCAACAGTGGCAGCAATGGGTTTGATAAATGAATAGGAGTGAAGAAGGCCACGGGGTGGAGAGGAGTGCTGAGTTGGCCCCAGATCTAGCTCCCTCATTGTATTGCTGGGGAGAGTGAGGCCCAGAGAGGGGAAGGGACTTGCCCAGGGCCATGGACACGGGTCTCTTGTGTAGAGACTCTTCCCAATACCACACTGTTGCCTCTCAGGGTCCCGGGGGGCTGTCTCGGGAGGCTGGGAGCAGCGTGTTCCATTCCATTTAGTCTCGTGAATAACATGGAGTGTGCCGTTGGAAGTGTGTGGTGCAGCCTTACTCAGGCTGGGGCAGGGCAGGCAGGCAGGACCTGAGGAAGTCAGTCAGCTCACCGCTCCACTTGGAGCTCCCCCAGACCTTGCGGGGAGCCCATCTGCTCCCATAACCAGTCCACATAGTTGGAGACCTTTGTGTAGACCCCATACACCTGCTTGCTGCCACATTCTTCAGGGCCCCCCCAGGACACCAGGCCTTGGGCCACCCAGCGCTGGCTCAAGTCATCAAGAATGACAAAGGCCCCGCCACTGTCTCCAAGGCACGTGTCCTTGCCGCCCTCATAGTAGCCGGCACAGAACATGTTCTCTGTGACGCTATAGTTGCCCGACCGGGACTCATAGCTGGTTTTGCACTCGGCGTGCGGCACCACAGGTAACTTGACGTATTGCAGGACATCTGACAAGGTCCGCGTGCCACTGCTGATGATCTCATCCACCGTCACGTTAGGATTGGAGATGCCCCAGCCGGCTACCAGGCCCAGCATATAGGGTGCAGGGCCTTCGGGCTCAGGCCTCGGAAGGCAGATGGGCATGACATGGGGTCCCAGGGGCACGGGCTCCCGCAGCTGCACCAGAGCTATGTCGTGGTTGTAGTTCTGGATGTTGAAGTCTGGGTGGAGCACCACTCGGGCAGCTGAGCTGTTGACAGCCCCCGATTTGTCCCTCACGTCATGCAAGCCCAGGTAGACGGTAACATGCTCCTTGGAGACCGGTGTCACTGTGTTATCTCTGCGCTGGGAGCGCAGCACATGGGCTGCGGTGAGGATCCAGGACTCAGAGAGCAGGGCCCCACTCCCAAACCACTTGTCATTTGGCACCCTCGAGGTATCCTCCACCACTATGAGGGCCTGCCATGGGAAGAGGCCCGGCTCGGCATTCCGGCCCCCAATGATCCGCTTGACCAGGTTTGGCAGGGAGCGGGAGGGCTGACCACACACTGTAAGGAGAAGGAGGGAGTGGGGACAAGAGACAGAGACTGGTCAGGTCAGCCATGTGAAGAGAACCACTGAAAGAAATTCACATCTCATCCCCTGTAGATTATGCCACCACAGGACCCTATGCTATATCACAGGGCCATGCTAGCCTGGGGGAGCTCTATGTGGGGTTATCTTTGGCCAAAGTCTTTCTAGTCTGGCCCATCTATATTCTGGCCTTCTGTAGCCAGGTCATCTATGGAACTATTTCATACATGGGCCTTCATCACCTTGAACCATTTCCAGCCAAGATCACTTTTTGCCTGGACCATCTTTAGCCAGGTCTATCTCTAGCAGTACTCATTCCTCCCCTTTCTTCCTTAGAAAGGCATCTCATATCTCAGAAGTGGACCATACTGTGGGTGCTTAGAAAACGTCGGAAAACCATAGATCATGGGCTTTGAGAGATAGAAGGAAACTAAAAGACTGTCTAGCAGGTCACAGCAAACAATGGACTGTGAGCCAACACACTTGGGACTTTGACCTGGCTTTTCTCTCCTATGTCCTATGTTACTCTGGATAAGTAAATTTCTCTGGCTGGATTTCATTTTTTGATCTGCTGAATGAGGCAGTGGGTCAAGATGATCTCCAAGGATACTTTAATTCCAAATTCCTTTGATTTTTATTTTATTTGTCCTGGCCACCCCCATTTTATAGGTGAATAAAATGATCCAGAGGTTAAACGATTAGCCTAAGGTCACATGGATATTAAGTTGAGTAGCAGGGGATTAACTAGATTCTAAGATCAATGTCTTATCCTGTATCCCACAATGCCTCCTTATAGATGAAGATGACGTCATGGGCCCTCCAACCTTTTCTTCTCTGGCCTGAAGGACTCATGCTGTGAAGGGATGCCCAGGGCACCGAAGATTAAAGAAAGGTGGCATAATCTACAAGCAATGATGCATGGGCCCTGTTCGGAGCCACCCATCATTGCACCCAGGAACCCTGTAGTACCTTCAGGGGAAGAAGAAAGGTCTGCTCAAACTTCGTTCCACCAAGTTGTACCCTGAGCATGCACATGCACCACCAGCCTCCTGCAGCCAAATGCCTTTGGCCCATGAGCAGAGGGTCTTCAGTACCAGCCCCCCACTGACTAAGAACAAACTCACATGGGCCCTTCCCATCAGGGTTTCTTAGGCCTGGGAGGTAAGTCTGGTGTGAGCGTGGGCCTCCTCCTAGTTGCAAATGGCCAGGATATACTCCTTGGTCCTGGACACTTTCAATAATTCTTTAAAGACCAAGGAGCATTTGTGTTTTCTTGGCAACTTGGGGAGGTCATGCTTTCAGCAACCCAATGCTTTTCAGATGCTCTGCTTCCTGATGCCAAATGCTTCTTACATGATCATGAGACACTCTGTTGTTCACCCCAGGCCAGATGTGAGCTGGTCTTAGCTAACTCTCTGTGGCTTGGCCTTTCAGAGTTGACAGCCAGATTCCCAACTACAAGCAGCAGCCTATGTGTGACACCTCAAGGGAAGTCTGTGACTGGCCCTACACAACAAATCATTTAGTGCTGAAAGGCCCTTTTCTGATGAGGGACATGCCAGTTGCTCAGTCCATGGTCACAACAAAGCCAGTGCTGAGTGGTGCCTTTCTTCAACCAAGGTGCTAGTGTCACACCCCAGGTCACAGATTGTCAGAGCTGGGGAAGCTTGGAGAACAGCTAATTTACAGATGGAGAAATTGAGGTTCAGAGAAGGCAAGTGACTCAAAGTCATTAGTGGCAGAGCCAGAAGTGGAGCCCATTTCTTCTGATTCTATCTTCATTTTCTCCACTAACGTCTATTTTTCTTCTTGATATTCTCTTGTCCTTTTAAGAGGTTGAATGATGCAACAAACCTTTGAGAGAGCTCATTGAAATGGGGCCATTCTTATTGGCTGTTATCATTCTCCATCCAGTCTGTCCTGGGACAAAAGAATCTTCTTGAAATACTAGAGCTTCAGCTGTGCTGAAGCCAGATTTGGGCTCTAGAAGACTGGAGGTACTAAGGGAGGGCCCTTAAAAAAATGTGATATTCTAGAATTCTGGGTTCATGAGTTGGCAGGAAACATAATCAGAGTCAAAAATGGCTCAGCATCACTTGTGTTGACATCCAAAGTCTTGGGTTCACCTTCCAGCTCTGCCCCTACTTTTCTGTGAGTGGCCTTGGGTAAATTATTACACTTCACTGATCCTTAGTTTTCTCATGTGTAAAATAAGGGGCAAATAATATCTGCTTAACAGGTTCCTTGGAAAGGTGGATGTTATGAGGCTAGATGAAATGGCTTTCTCCATTCTGGCTTGCTTGCGTTCAATCTCATTGTTTTAGGAGGAGATAATTTGGAAATCTCTGGCCTGGTCTAACGATACACCATGGTTCTTCCAAATACCAGGTATTAAAGGAATTTCATGACTCATTGTATCCAAGATGTTTCGCATAAATACAGAGGATGATGACCATTTAGAGTTACAGAATGTCATGGATCACCTGGTCCTGCTCCCTCACTTCTGAGGTGTGGAATCCTAGGCCCAGAGAGGTGAGATTACTTACCAAATACGACAATTAGGAAATGAGGGCACCAGGACTAGGACCCAGCCCCTGACTCCCAGTTCAGTGCGTCTCCCCCCTCCAGAGGTTGCAGCATGGCTGCCCAGGATGGAATCCACCAGCAGTGCTGTTTTCTTTGAGCCACATAGTATTCTAGCCAAACGGGAATTTGCCCCTCCAGTTTGCCACAGTTCCACCACTCCTCATCTCTGAGGCATCACTAACTGTGGCCCTTGGGTGTGTTCCTGGCTAAGCCTAAATGAGATGATGGGGTCAGCAGAGTGGGGGGGTTGACCTTTTCCCTGTGTCAACTCCTCACGAGTTCCTTCTTAGGCATAAAGCCCTCCTAAGTCAAGGCTTCCCAACCAGTCCTCACCCTTCCACTCACAGACTACCACATGTGGTGACTTACTCCTTCTCTGGGATCTCATAGCACTTGCAATGGCCAAAACTGACTCCCAAATGTTCTTAAGTATAATGGTAGACGAGTCTATAGCCTTTCCATTTTAACATCTAATCTAACATCTAGAAGCCTACTGAGTGAATATTCAGGGTTACTAAAATGTACCATTCAAATGACATACTTGTGCCACCAACACTTAATGCAACCCAACACTTAAGCACACTGCAGAGCTCCTGCTATTCGAGCGAATGTGCAGACAGAATCAGCACCACTCCTTGGTGCTATCTTGAATGGCTGTATCTTTCAATTATCGCTATTCTTGCTTTTTCTTAAGTGTAAATTTCTGTGTTGTGAACATTAGATTTAATTTTTTGTGTGTTATTTGTTTAACTCTATGGTGTGCATTTGGGGCTACAAGTTTCTAATAAGTCAATTTGAATATACGTATGCACTATGGTTGCAATGCAAATCATCCATACTTTTAATGCTAAAGCAAATATCCACAAAGTATCCCCCAAATCTGTATGCACAGTGACACTCCCTGTTACCACAAAATTCTTTTCTCATTTTAAAGTGAGGAAAGTAGGTGAGCCATGGGGAGGCAGCACTCAGTAACACTTGAACACATTGCCCTTTGGAAGAATTTCTTACTCTGTCCTATAGTTATTTGTTAGTTGTCTGATTTGTCCGTCTCCTTTACAGCATAGTGCATGCTTGAGGACAGCATGCCCACTTTCTTGATTTTCCTGGCACACAGCAGGTGCATATACAAGCTGTGTGGGATGAAAAACCTGGTGGGAAGGGAGCAGAACTGCAGACAGAGGAGACAGGAAGGCTCTTGGCATGATAGAACAGGCTGAATAGAGAGCCTGATTGGTTTGAGAAGGTATGAGGTTGGGCTTCTCTGACCTTCGACCCTCTGAAGATATCTCTTAAAAAACAATAAAGCATCATGGTCCCACCCCCCACTCCATTAACAACTAGAGCACCTGGCACCTGAGGGCCTCGGATGGGAGACCTTGAGGCAGAGGACTTGAGGGTGAGATACCTGGCAGGCAGGTGGGCCGGCTTCTCCCCAGTACTTCATTCATCCAGACTCCTTGCTCAGAACATGTATATATACCTGGGAGAGTGAGGAAAGGTTGGAGCAGAGGGAGAAAATGGTTGGTTTATAGCACATGGAAAAATAGAGCTGGGTTCTTAATTCCTCTATTGAGGATCATTGCAAGTCTTCCAAATAGTCTTTCTGATGCAAGTCTCTCTAAGCCATTCCTCTCTGCAACCTGATGGACTTTCCAAAGTGAGAATCTGACCATGTCCCTCCTCTACTCAATATCACCAATAGCTCCCCATTCTTAGACTCTTCAGCACGGTGTCCAAGGCTCGGTGCAATCTGACTCCTGCCTGTCTGGGGACTGCTTCCTCCTCGTCCGGCCCTGCCCAGCCCCTGGCAGGCACTTCTCATCATTAGTCACGCAGCTCTAGGTTCACATGGCTCTCTGTGGTGCACTTGCCCTTCCCTCCCTTCTCCACTTAACAAACTCTTTAGTAAACCACACTTGTGTCCGCCATCTCATTTGAGTCTTATAATAGCTCTGTGAGCTATTTCACTGCTCCTTTTTTGAAGTGAGGAATTGGAGCCTTTGAGAAATTACAAGAATTTTCTTGGTGCTAGTCTGTGGCAGAGGCAGAACTGATCGGCCTTCACATCTCCCTGACGGTTGCTTCTCTGCTGGAGGCTGTGAGTGTGTATGTGTGGGTGTTGGGGTGCCATGTGGTCTAACTCTCGGGAGTGTGCGCCTGAGGCAGGGAGACATGAGGCATATCTCCAAGTGTTTCTCTTCCCAGTTCCTCCCAAACTGTGGCCAATGGGCTGGCTGTTTCAGCCTCCAGCTTAATCCTGAGGGTGGGAGCAGGAGTCGGCTGGGTTAGCATGGAGGGCTTACCTGTGATGTTGTGGAGCATCTTGTAGTGGGGCTGCTGGCAGGAGTATCTGATCTCAGATTTGTATGTGGTAAGTTTGTTCCTGGTGGAGAAGGTGACCAGCCCATGTTCCAGCTCTGCTGGGGCTCCACAGTCTGCAACTGAGAAAGAAGAGAGTGAGATCCCTCAATTACCCTCTGTTCTTCCTCTTGGGTCTGTCTGGTGGGTCTGTCTTATATGGATGTGCAGGTTGTGCACTGCACACAAATCCAGAGAACAATATTATAGTCTATGAGATTGGTGACCCAGGGATTGTGCAGGGGACAACCTTGCAGTCACCAGTGGCCCTGCTTTTGGGGCCTCTCCCATCTATTGTGTGGTCAACTCACCTGGCCTGGTGTCAATTCCAGGGCAAGGGCAGGTCTGCTGAGCTTTAAGCAGACCACAATCTCTTCCCCACCAGGGCCCTTTAATTGATTCCAGTTCTATTGTGCAATCATCTTAGCCTCTTCTGCACAAGCATGAAGCCTGTGGCTCAGCGAGAAAATTCTGGCTCACTTGAACCAAAGAATCTTCTCTTCTTCCAGACTCAACACATGCTGAGTAAGAATAGTTAATGTGTTCACATTGGAGCTTGGCATAAAAAAACACAAAAACAAACAAAAAGAAACAGAGCTCCTGCATGAGTCCATAGCCTCACCCTGCTGGCTCCCCGCAGGCACAGAAGGCAGGAAGTGGGGTCAGGGGTGGACCAACTTTGAGTCTTCATCTGCTCATTTTCTCCAGTTGTTGGTGCGTGGACATTGGGGCTGGCTGTAGGACAAGACCCAAGATGCCTACTCCTCAGAGGCGGTCTTAGGGGAGCTTGCCAGCCCAGCTAGGTCTTAGGGGAGTTGCCAGCACTGATAGAGTCCAGCACGAGTCTGCTGAGAGCCAGGTCAGAGGCTGAGGACCTAGTTTGTCTGCATCTCTTCAGGGGCCTCCATTAGGGGGTGGTGCTCATTTCTAAGGAAATCCTAATCTAAGGTCTAACAGCCTCTGCCAGAGTTAAAGAATCATAGAACAATCATAGAACTTCACAGTTGAAAAGGAATTTGAAAGCAGGCAATCCAGAATATCATCTCTACAGATGAACCCAGAGAGGAGACTTGACTGGTCTAAGGTCATGTAGCGACTTATGGTCAGACAACTAGAACTGACCTTAAACTCAGTGTTCTTTTAAGTAAACCAAACTGACAGTTCTTAAGGATCTGTTTTCTAGCTAAACCGGCCTACAATTCATATTAGCTGAGTAGTGGTGGACATTAGCTGTCAATCATCTGATAATTTCAGAGGACCGCGTTCCAAAGCTGTGGCAGAATTTCCAGAGTTTCCCTCCTCCTGAATTTTACCTGCTCACCTTGGGAAACAGAGAGAGGGCAATTTATCCCTGAGATGCTATACAGAAATTGAGATTTTTAATTTTAGGACTCCAAATGCACCTTTCTGATTGAATAGAGTTATCTAACTTAAAATATAGATAACTCAAAGGCCCTCCAGGCTGGAGGAGAGGGGTGAAGGATGGGAGGACATGCAGATACCTCCTATCCACAAAGGAGGCAAAGTCAAGAGAACTGGTTAGTGTTCTGTCTTGGCCTCTAACTCCCTGGACAAATCATTCCCATCTGTTTTGATCACCCCAAGTGGGGACACTCTTCTACACTGCAAGGAGAGCGTGGGAGGGTCAGCACTAGGATAACAAGAGGCAATAATATTTATTTAAAGCTAAAAACAATTTTAAATGTATTTTCCTGCTGAGTCTCACAGCAGATTTTTCTTCTTCTTTTAGGAAATGCCATTGATGGGTTCCGGGTTCTTGGTATTATGACTCTTGTCTCCCTTAGGTTTGGTCTAACGGGTCATTTGCCTGAGTTATCCTCGTGACCTATTACCTAGTTCCAGGTGGAGGAACTCCAGGGTTGGTCTTAGACATGGCGAGGTGGTCAGACTCCCGAGAGCCCGATACATGGCCAGCACTGGTAGGGAGAGATTTTCTGGATAGAGGGCCTGCTTTCACATCACTCCAAAGAAGTAACTTTGCCTGTGGATAAAGGTGGTCCTACAACCAGACAGAGGGAGTGATAAATAGTGGAAAATAGAGGTGACTTCAGCTTGGGTATAGTGAGTGGGGAAGGGGTGCACCTCTCCCCAAGTCTACAGTGGCAGGCAGAGAGCCATGTCTCTCTGGGACCTGGAGGCAACTTCCCCTTTCGAGGGGCCTCTAAGTTCTGCCCGGCACAATCAAAGATGCTATATCCAGACCCTGCTTCCTCAGCTGGTCTATCTTTTTTCTTTAGGAAGGATCTCATCCCTTTCTCTAAAGCTCCCTCTGCCCGCTTCTACTCTCTGGAATCAAAAGGCTCTTCCTTTTCCCATTCCCTTGGCCTCTCTCTCATCATTCTCTGGGGCACGATGTAGCACCCCACACCCTGTCTCCGCTGTCACCTCTTGCTGCCATTTACTTTCCTTCAGACACACCTTTCTTGACCTGCCATCCTGAGCGTGCTTTGCCACAGTTTGGGGGCTTCCTAGAGAACTGCACACAATCGGCTCACCCTGCCCTCAGGACCCAGGATGCCCCCACCCTAGCCTCATCTTCATCCTGCCCTCGGTGCACTTGTGCTCCAGCATCGCAGACCCCTCGCTCTGCTGCTCTCTCGCCTGCCTGCCTCTCTCCCCACACAGGAAACCCTGTGGTCCATGCTCTGGACCCCCGCCTCGAGGCCTTGATCGAACATTGCTTCTTCTTGAAAGCCTTTTCTCACTTTTCTAATCAGATAGGGCCGCTTCCTCATTTCTCCCTAAGGAGCTTTTGTTCACCTCTCTCTGATGCACATATCTTATGTTGCCTGGTATCGCAATTACTTGGCTCCATTTCAAATCTTCTGCCTAAATTATAATTCCCTCTATTACACTGAGTACAGTATCTATTATACTTCGTGGGCTTAAAAATATCGATCCAGCTGACGCTTGTCTTTAGTGACTGCCCCATCTCCTCTCTCAGGGGCACCCCTGCCCTTGGATGGCACCGCAGTCTCTGGACTTCTCATTGTCCACTCTTGCAGGATTCTCCCCTCCTCAAGAGGCCATTTAACCACCAAATAGACTGAGCAGTCACCATGTAATGCAGAGGTTCTCTGATATGTCTATCCAGATTTTGTTCAGGCTGAAGCAGAGATTCCCAGCATGCTGGCGGCCACCCCACAGCCCTTTCTTTATCATTATTTATGACCCAGTGATGTCCCCCGGCACCAGAGCTGAGGGCCACTGCTTTCAAATGTGATACCTATTTTTTTAAAACTTTAATCAGGGAATTTTCAGAAATGCAAAATTTGCAAGCCCCAGAGGAAAGAACATCTGATGATGGAATTTCAGCCCTGTGTAAGGTGTAGATGGAACAGAAACTTTTGGGCATAAGAATATGTCTAGATATCCTAAAAATCCATGCTATATGAGTTATTGTTAGTTTCATCTATCATGGGTGTTAAGAAAATAGCAAAGGTAAAAACACTAAAGTCATAAAGTCACAGGCATTCTGGCCCATTTAAACTTGAAGTGTGGTGTGGCTTAGAAACCAGGGCCCACATTGACCTGGCCAGCCTAAGGCCATGTGATTGTATATTAAATCTTGTGTCTCTAGGACCAAAGTCATTTTTCCTTTGAGAAGAGTACAGTCCACTTAGAGTTGCTAAAAAAAAAAAATCCCCCATTGTCTTTTCATTATTTTCCAGAGTAATGTTTGGATGATGAGTGAACCCTGAAATGGAGAACTGTTCTCATACACACAGTGGTTTCAACTACTTGAGGCTGCGCGGCCTTGCTCAGCAGTCTAATCGGCACTGAAATGGGAAATGGAGTGTTGGCAGGGTGGGGAGGGGTGGAGTAGCTCTGGGACCCCAGGGGTCTTGTGAGTGATCCATTCCTGGATGTCTGCACTGTGTGGGGTCCCGTCATTCATTCTGTCACTTGCTCTGACTCGAGTTCGCTCTCCACATCCATTTCGGTTTCTGCCACCATGGTGAAGGTCAAAGAGGGGTCAGGAGGTACAGAGAAAGGAAGCAGAGAGAGGAAGAGAGAAAAATTAGCAAGCAAAGCAGAAACAGTTCATGCAGGAAATACAGAAATCATTCCACCAGAATTGATTAAGAATGCACAGTTTAGGTACAGCCAGTGTGAAGGACAGTTTGGGATTGTGGAATTTGTACCATTCTGAGAATTTGCACACTCATAAATCCTGGGTCATGGGGATTTTAACGTTCTGCCCCTGGAGCAAGCTTTGCATTCATCTGATCCCAACCCTCACGTGACAGATGGCATTCAGAGTGGAGTAGGACATATCCGGGGTCACCACAACAAGGTGGAGGCGGGGCAAGGACGACCACGCATAATTTTCACTTCCTGTTCCAGTGCAAGTTTCTTCACTGCACACACACACCTCCCGTCTGTTCCCAACCCCTTGCCCCACAGTCTCTGGGGACTCTCAATTTTTCAGTCTTCTTCATCTTTGCATCACCCCTAGGACCCAGCACATGCCTGGGATGGACAGATGCTCAGTAAATACCTAGTCAGTGAATGAGCAGAGATGCCAGGTGTCTGAATGGAGATTCGAATAGTCCTAATCCAGGCTATGCTGGGAAAATGGGTCATATTAGGGAGAAAAAAAATTTCTCTTGTCTTTAGTTCAAAATGACAGGCATTCTTTTGTATACCAACATAAGTCACATAAAATAGTACCACCAAATACATAGCACCTTACTCTACAACATTTCTGTTACAATAAAAAGCGTATGTGTTTCATCAGGGAAAAGAATTATTATTGAAGTTTCCAAAAGTGTGAATGAGAGGAACCAAACCTCATCCTGGTGAGTGGGTTGGGTGGGAGGAAGAAATAGCTGTATTTTGAGCTTTTCCTGGTGCCCCACGGGTATGATATGTACATCAACTCAGTTCTCAGAAAAATTTAGAAAGCAGGAAACTGAAGCGAAAAGAGTCTGAGTAAATTGCTTAGGGGCACTCAACTGGTTGAGTCTGGATTTGAATCTAGAACTTCCTGGCTCCAAGCCACATCATGTCCTCTACAGCCCTCTTCCTCCTTGACCTCATCCTTCAGAACGCCCGCTTGCTTTGCCCTGCACAGTGCTTTGGGTAGAACTCAGTGACAGCACCACACATGAGCCACGCGTTAGAGGAGGCGTTGGATGTGTCTGCCAACATGTGAGTTCTTCCATGTCTGGACCTTGTCTTTTCCATCTGAATTCCCTACGGACCTCTGCACAGGCATCCAGTAAATGTTTGTTGAAACTTTTTGTTGAACCCATAAACTGTCTCCCTTTTCCCGTACTGGGATCTGACTCCAGCCACATCGTCATAAATATATGTAAATTAAAAGCAAGCATAGTCTGCTTAAAGCTCTGCGCGATTTGCCTCAAGAGATCCCTGCCCTGAGAGTGCCCCCCTTGGGGCAGTGGGAGCGGATCTGCCTGCCTACTGGATCCAAGCCATTTAGAAGGGAAGAGGACACCACCCCAAAGTTTACATGAAGTCATGATATGGTGGTGGGCGGGACCAACCCTAATTCTTGACTTCTCATCTCTCCATTCTAAAGCAAATCCTCCCTCCTTCTCTGCCTCTCTTCTTTCCTTCTCTAACTCTTTCTGTCACCTATGCCTCCTCTCATCACTCTTGCCGTAGATAAGTTTCCTAAAATTGTGGTCCTTACAAGTCTTGCACTGAAATCACCTGGGTAAGGGGAGACGGGGTGGTGGCTGACCATTTGTATTATTACAAAGCTCACTAGGTGATTTATATGGATTATATTATTTTAGAACCATAGGGCCATATTCTAGAATATTGAAACTACTCCAAACTCTATTTTACAGTTGAGGTGAAGGATCTTGTCCATAGTCACAGGATGGGTTAGGAACAGAGCCAAGGCAAGAACACTGGGTCCCAAGAGCCAGTGCAGAGCTGTGTCCCCTGCTTCACACAGGTGCACTGTGCTGACCCCACAGCTGTAAAGCATGAACTGTCCCAGGAGACTTAGTGGGTATGGCTGAGGGCCACGTAGAGACTGACAAGGTCACTTGGCTCTGGGCACTGGTGCCAACATAGTTTCCTGAATTAGTTTCAAACTGGACACATGCTATTCCCTTAGTAAGTTTGGCAACCTGTCTGCAGGCAGAGGTAAAATTAATATTTAGAAAGTAAACTGGGACCCACAAGAAGTTTCTTCTAGAATCCTAAAGTCTTATTGCAGAAAGGAGCATTAATAGACTTTTTGTCCAACCCTCAGGTGTCTGTTGAATTCCTGTCCCCATCTCTCTTACAGAGTACCTGCCAAGCTGTCAGGCTCTCTGCTCGGATCCCACCAGTCCTGGGGAGCTCACTACCCATATAATCAACTGATTTCATTTTCTTACTTTTACAGGTGGGGATCTTGTTACTCCAGGTCCCATCCTTTAGACATTCAATCTGGAATGTGTCCATCTCCACATTATCCTAGGAAGAAACATGAAGAAGGTGTGAGAAGAAGGAGGAGGGTGGGTTGGTGGCTGTTTCCCAGCAAAACCAGCTCAAGTTTCAAATCTTGCTGTCCTCGACTGAGATTTTCCAAGCATGAGCCTCCAAGGGCAAGCTTGAAGATAAGGGAAAGATAGACGCTGAATTCAAATTCTCCATTCACACTCTGGAGAGAGGCAAGGGCTGTGTGCAAGAAGGGATTTGGGCAACTGTCTCTGCAGGGAAACCTGTACCCTTGACTCCTTTTGCAGAGCAGTGGCTCTCAAACCTGAGTGAACAGCAGCATCCCTGAGGGCTTTTGCACAGACTGCCGGGTGCTGTGCCGCCCCCAGAGTTTCTGATTCAGGGGGTCTGGCCTGAGGACCAAGAATTTGCATTTCTAACAAGTGAGGTGATGCTGCAGCGGGAACCCCCCCTTGGGGAACCATTCCTTGAGAGCAGTGGTCCTCTGGCTTGGCTCACATCAGACTCACCTGGGCAACATAACAGAGAAACCAATCACTGGCCCCTGCCCAGAGGTTCTGCTTTAATTGATCTCAGGTGGGGTCTGGGAGGAGATTTTGTTTTTTAAGTTAACCAGGTGATTCCTAGGAGAACTGCTAGTTCAGAGTGTGGGAGAATGAGCAATGCCTGTCTGCCACCTTTAAAATCTCTGCTCCCTGTCCCAGTCTCCCCCAATAAGCCTGAGGAACTTTGTTAAGTTTGTTTTGTCCTGATTGTAGGGCTGAGCGGATCTAGCTTTTTTGAAATTCAAACAATCCCACGCTCTGATAAAAGACTCTTGTGCCACTTCTAGAAGTAAGAGTCCAGGACACATGCTTTGGATTTTCAGAAGACTGGAATTTCTGGAGCATTTTGGAGATTTATAGGGAAGTTGGGAAATACTGTGGTGGGACCATGACAAGCTCTGGAAGCCCACCTGCCCTGGGAGGCTCTGGAGGATTTCTCTGTCCTGGTGGGTCCCCCTCCCCAGGCAGGACCCCTGGTACCTTCAGCACTTTGTAGCCTGTGTCACAGCTGACGAGCACCTGGTCCTTGAAATAATACTTGGCTTGCGAGGGCTCGATTTTCCCATGGACCGGAGGCTGTAGATCTGAACACTCGTTCCCTGGTGGGGAGCCATGACAGGAGAGCAGGTGAGAAAATAAGAATGCTCCTAGAGGGCAAGGCCTGATGGAGATGGAAAAACCACAGAACTGGGTATTGGGGGCCTGGATCTACTAAGGCTTGAAGAATACTTCTTCTGGAACCTTGAGCAGGTCACCTTTCAACTTGGACCTCTATTTCCTCATTTGTAAAATCAGGTGGTTAGCCAGATGATTTCATCAAAACTCAGGGTTGCAAAGGATATTAAATGCCATTGAGTACAACCTTGTCTTATGCTTCCTTTATGACATCTTCTATAATAGACATCAAATATCTATTTGCATTCCTACAGTGACAGGGAGTTCAATACCTCCCACACCTGTCCTTTCTGTGCTGGACTTCTCTGATTAAAGGAATAGTGTTTCCATAGTTAGCTGAAATTTATACCCTCGTAATTTTTACTCATTGGGCATAGTTTGTCCTCTTAGGCCTCTCAGAATGACCCCAGTTGCTCTTTCTTTCCAGATCATTCTTCAAAGTGTCAGAGAGACTGTGATCATATGGCTCTGAGCCCTCTCTTCAAAAGACTAAATCTGATAGGATTCCCAGCCTGGGCTATCCCTGACTTTTTTTCCTGGACACTCTCCTTTGTTAATGTCGTGACTCCTCTCCCCTGACCTGGGCACTGAATGTGATAACGCAGGCAGGGCCAGGATTTCAGTCTGTGCACTGGATTAGTCACACCCAGCTGTGGTCTTGTCACTGATGTCCATCTTCTTCTTCCTCGAGTTACTGCAGACCTCTTGGGTCAAATGGCTTTATCAGGATTTGGGCCAGGACTGGCTGCCTTGGAGTACTGGGGAACGAGACCTATGGGCTTTGCTAGTCTGAGAGGGGGCGCACAAGGGGCTAAACCACCATAATGAAACATTCTGAGCTGCAAGGCCTACACTCAGATTCCTGCTCCAGACTTGGAGAAGGCTAGAGCTGGAAGGGTCCTCTCAGGACCAATGAACCACAGGGTGGAGGGGTGGAGCTCAGGAAATGAAATTTAAAAAAATCTCCGCACGTGATTCTGAAGCGCAACAAGGTTTGAAAACTACCAGCCTAGTCCAGACCTAGTCATTGCTGCCCTCGCCCCCATTTTATAGATGGGACACTGAGTCAAGAGAGAGAATGTACCTTGGTTCCAAGCTACCCAGTGGCAGAGCTGAGAGTCCCGCCAGATCCCCAGGGGAATCCCAGGCCTACACCCCCTCCTCCCTCAGCCACTGCACCGTGAGGCTAAGCACAGTGACCAAGGGTGACCCAGGAGGGAAGAGGCTGTGTTACCTGTCGCCCTGTATGAGAGCCTCCAGCCTCGATTCTCCCCCGAGTTGTCACTGCGGAACAGGATCTGGACGCTGTGGCTCTGGGTATTGATGGATTCCGGAGCTTTCTCTCCACAGAAGGGCCCCCAAACTTTTGGACCAGCTTTAATCTGTGAGGTACAAAATAGAGAAAAAAAAAGGATCACATCTGAGCAGTGGTGGCTGCTACAGGGACCACCTCTACACTGCACCTTGGGGTTTTTTGGAAGCCTCCATGTGAACCCATGGTATCCACTGATGTTTTTAGTGGGTGTTACTATTCATTAAATGGTTTCATCTCCACTCTCCCATTTATAATTTACAATGTCCCTGGAAGTGGACAAGGCAGGCTAATAATTCTCTGCTCAAATATGAACATATTATGGCTCAGAAAGGGGCAGAGCCCTGTCCAGGTACACAGGATAGAAAAGGCTTCTGCTCTCAAAGAACCTGCAGTCTGGTCAGGGAAAACTAACAATAAATTACAAACAAAATAATCATAGCCTCTGGTAAGGGTTATAAAAAATAATTGGAATGATATACATATATAATATAAATATATGCTATGTGTTTGTAAATTATGTAGCAAAATCTGTGCAACCTATATAATTCATCATTTCCACAATAGATAGTAATATAACAGATAATAACTTTAAATAGGCAGTCAGGGAAGGCCTCTTTGAGGAGGTGACATTGGATCTGAGACATGTAGGATGAGTAGCAGCTTGTCATTTGAAGAGGAGGGGAAAATACACTCCAGGCAGAGAAAACGGCATAAAGGTCAATGCCAAAGGTGGGAAAGAGGCTAGCAAGTGTTAAGAACAGGAAGGAGACCAGTGTGGCTGGAACAGAGGGAAGGCCATGGCACGAGGTTGGAAAGGCAGGCAAGGGCCACACTGTGTTGAGGAATTCATGTTTACTTCCAAGTGCAATCTTGATCAAATCCGGCTTTTGACAAGATCCTCCTCAAGGCTATAGGAGAACAGATGGTGTAGGGCAAGAGGGGAAGCAAGATAACCAGCTAGGAAGCTTTGCAGTTGACTAGGAGATAATGGGGTTTGGACTAGGATAGGGGCAGGGGGGATGGAGAGAAGGGAACAGGCACTATTAGCTGATCTGGATTTCCCAACTCCCAGTCCTGGGTCCTTCTTATGCCTTTAACTCTTTTTCTTTCCATCTCTAAGGACCAGGACTCCTTAATCCTCATTTGGTGACTTCTACAATCCCGGGTGACATCTTCATCTTGTCACCCTTACTGTGACCCCAAGAGGTTAAGTGCCTGGATAGGCTCACAGCACAGCTCCTGGGACACTATGTGAGGAAGGCAGAATTCTAAGATGGTCCCCATAACCGTCACCCCTGGTGTTACTTCATGATGATATGTTCTGTGGCAAAAGGGATTTTGCAGGTGGCCAAGGGGCTAGTTTTGGATCAGGTAAGATCCCTAGGCTGGATCTCATTAAGCTGGTAGATGTTATTTTAAATAATTACTTTTTGGGAAGCAAGTTGCTTGGCCCCCTATTCTGGAAGCAGGTAGAGGGCCAAGAATATCAATTTTCCCAATTCAGCCAAGATTTTCCGGCATCCCCAGGGCAAGTGTCCCTTGCAGGATTACCTTGATGTAGTCATAGGGGCAGGACACCTCAGGATGGTCCTCAATGTCGAAAATGTCCTCAAACTGCAGGCTGACCTTGAAGCCCTCCTCCAGCTGGATTGTGTAGAAGCATTCGGAGCTCTTAGGGTAGGGGTTGGGGAAGTCGGGGCTGGTGATCACGCCGGTCCTCTGGATAAAGAGGTTGTCACTGCACTCCACTGTGGGAAACACATCGGAGCCAAGTGGCACACCACAACCATGGCCACAGCAACCCCTTTCTTATCCGGTACTGTAAGATTTTCCCAGGGGTCCCGAGAGGCAAGTAGGGAAGGAATCATTATCCATTTTACAGACGGGGTAACTGAAGTTCAAGGAGGGGAAGTGATTTATCCAAGGTCACACACCTAGTAATTTGCAGAATCAAGACTCAAAGGCAGGGGCCGGCCCCGTGGCTTAGCAGTTAGTTGCACGTGCTCCCCTACTGGCGGCCTGGGTTTGGATCCCGGGCGCGCACTGACATACCACTTCTCCAGCCATGCTGAGGCGATATCCCACATACAGCAACTAGCAGGATGTGCAACTACGACATACAACTATCTACTGGGGCTTTGGGGAGAAAAGGGGAAAAAAGGGAGGAGGATTGGCAATAGATGTTAGCTCAGGGCCAGTCTTCCTCAGCAAAAAAAGAGGAGGACTGGCATGGATGTTAGCTCAGCCCTGATCTTCCTCACCAAAAAAAAAAAAAAAAAAAAAGACTCAAAGGCCGTGAGTGTGGTGACCTTTCCATCAGATTCTCTGGTATGGTTGGGGGCAGTAGGGGGTCTGATATGGAAAGATTTTGAGATGGCGTGGTCGAGGGGAATGTCTGGTCCTCTTTTGCCTGCTCCCCCCTCAGCCCAGAACTCCATTAGGTCTCTGTTCCTTGATCCCTCATCTAACACAGGACCTTACACACACTGCCCCCGCTCGGGGACCTGGTTTTGCTTGGTTTCTTTTCATTCTGCTGACCACTACTTGTCACTAGGTAATATATTTGTTTGTGGATTTTCTTCCCCCACTAGACTGTAAGTTCTCAGAGCTCAGGAATTCTGCTTTGTCCCCACTGCAGCTGCAACCAGGGACCTAGTGTTCTGGGACCCTGGCCATGGCTCAGGCCTGCCCAAGGTCCCTTCATTTGCCACTGAACCTTTCTCCTTGAGCTGACCCCTCCTAGATCTGGGATGTCAATCTTTTCTGAATTCTTGTATATCTTGCTCATTTGCAAATGAGAAAACTGAAGCCCAGAAAGGGAGTGTGACTCTGCTGTGTCCACACTCCTCGTACAGCAGTTACTACGTTTCACCATTCGCTTGTGTGGCTGTTACCCCACTGGCCTGGGAGGTCCTTATGGAAAGTAGCTGAACCTCTCCACTTCTCCACCCCTGCCCTAGCCCAAGACTACAGCAGAGTAGGCATGTTGATGAGAGATGAAAACAGAGGGAGATAGAAGGAATGGGCTGTTTTCTTGCTGTCTCTGTCTTTGCCTCTCTCCCATCTCTTCTTGCCTTTGGACTGAGGTTCTCCCTATCACAGAGAAACTTAAGGGGCCATAGAGGAGAGGAGAAAATGGAACTGCTGTATGAGGTCTAGTTCATGGCTCAGAGAGAGGATTGGGAAACCCGGTTTTTCCCTTAACCTGGCCAGGCCAATTACCTCCACAGGAGAGGAGACAGGGACTACAGAGTAGCAATTCCTGCTGCCAGAAAGGAAGATGGCCTAGAGGCTAGGGCTGCTCAAACGTAGTCCTTTAGGGAACCTGTTCCTGGACTTCCAGGCTGGTGGGCATTTCAGTGTCTCATCCATGTGGTATCTGAGGCACAACTCTCTGACTTCATTTTTAATTGTTCCTGCTGCATATCTGTCCTTCCTCTGAGCCTCCCCTAATCCTATTGGAAAATGTGGCACAGAAGGGTGATGTATGGGATCATCCCCGGGCCTCACCTCGGCAAGTCCTGTTGTCTGTGTGGAGGATGTAGCCGAAACGGCAGGAGCAGTAGTAGCCACCTATGTAGTTATGGCAGTAGTGGTCACAGGACAGCTCCTCGTCCTCTCGCTCCGTGCACTCATCCACATCTGTGGGGCAGGTAGAGCCTCTCTGTCAATCACCCCATCGGTGATGATGAAGAAGACAACAGCTAACATTTACAGAGCGTTTAGTATGGGCCACTCACTGTGTTGGGAGGTACATGTATTCCTTCATTTAATTCTCACATAAAACCCAGAATTAGCTATTATCTCCATTTACAAATGAGGAGACTGAAACTAAGAGAGGTGAGGTAACTTACCCAAGATCACAGAGATCCAGGTTCAAACCCAGGCAACCTGACTCTCGATGGTGCCACTATCCTCTAACAATTGTAATAATAGCAGGCAGGACTGTTACTATCCCCATTCTATAGATGATGAAACTGAGACTTAGAGGCATTAAAGAACAAACTCCAAGTCACACAGATAGTAAGTGGTGGAGCCAGTATGCAAATCCAGGCAGACAGGCTCCATAGTCTGGGCCTTTAAATTTCACTCTATGCTGCCTGTCTCTTTCTGAGTCCCTAATATGGGTCAAGCTCTGTTCTAAGCATTGGAAATATAAAGATAAGTAGATGTATGTTCTCAACTCAGCTTAAAAATTTGAACATATATTTCCCCAAAAAGGATATGTGAATGGCCAACAAGCACATAAAAAGATGCTCAACGTCACTAGTCACCAGGGAAATGCAAATTAAAACCCTAATGGGGTGCCACTACATACCCAGCAGAATGGTTAAAAATTAAAAAATTGATAACTTCAAATGTTGCTGAGGATAAGGAGCAGACAGAACTCGCATACCTTGGTGGAGACATCTAAAATGGTGCAAACACTTTGGAAAAGGTATGGTAATTTCTTATAAAACTAAACATACACCTACCCTATGATCCAGCAGTTCTGCTCCTAGATATTTACCCAATAGAAATGAAAACATGTGTTTACAAAAAGACGTGTACAAGAAAGTTCATAGAAACTTTATTAATGAGAGCCAAAAAATGGATAGAGCCCAGGCGTCCATCAAAATGAGAATGGATAAAGCAATTGTAGTATATTCATACAATGGAAAATTGCTCTACCAGCAAAAGGAGAAAATTACTGATGCATTGCAACAGCATGAATGAATCTCAAAAACTTTATGCTGAGTAAAAGAATCCTCACCCCCTAAATATATTCTGTGTGTGTTCACTTATATGAAGCTTTATAAGAGGCAAAACTAATCTAGGTAGAACAAAATTCAGAACAGTTGTGGCCTCTAAGGGAGGTGGGAGTGGGGTGTGATGGGGAAGGAGCATGAGGGAACTTTCTGGGTTGATGGTAAAGTTTAACGTCTTGTTAGGGGTATGGGTTACACATGAATATAAATTTTTCAAAACTCAACAAATGTACTTAAGATTTGTGTGTTTCATTGTATGTAACTTTTACATTAAAAGAAAAAAACTGTGAATAGATATTGAACTCTAGCAAAATCATATGCGTGCTAAAGTATTCAGGAAGAGGTGTACTGATGTCTGCGATTTACTTCGAAATGAATCAAAAAGGATGAATTGATGGATAGATAGAGGATAGATGGAAAGATACATGATAGAGCAAATGACTAAGACCTTAAAGGTAGAATCTATGTGGTGAGTACACAGGTGTTCATTGTAAAGAAGAGAGCACAAGGCACTTTTAATCTTTAGAGAGAAAGGGAGACCTGGGGATGAGTCACCCAGTTCTGCAACTTACCCACAGCCATGTAGTGAGCATCAAAGCCTGTGAATCGCTCCTCATTGGAGAAATCTGACCGGAAAGTGATGGACATGAAGGAGCCAGGGGAGAGCACCACTTCTTGGCCGGGGGTCTGCTCTGTGTCCGTGGTCTCCTGGCCACAGAAGGTTGCCAGCACCTGATCCTCAGTTTCTACCTTTGAGGTCAAAGAGAAAGGGAACAAGATGAGCAGCTTCTCTGAGGGTGTCCAGGAGAAAAGAGGAAGGGGCTGCCCATGAGTAGACCTGGGAAATATAAAGAAAGGGATTAGGGATTCTGGGATTTGAGGAAAGATGCATTACAGGTTAAGTTAATATGGCCATTCAATCATTGTTTCATTCATTTTGTTTAGTTCCATCAGAAGTAGCTTGACATTTGTCATTCCTGTTGACAACCAAATGGCTTATTTGTTGAAAATAACTCAATGTTAAAATTCAGAAAGAATTAGATAACCTCATAGATGGATTCTATATGCCACAGAAACTTACCACATTTCCAAAAATAAGAAACTTTATATACAATATAAATCATTCATTGAGCATTTAGTGTGTACCTGCCACTGAGCAAAGCACGAGATTGCGGTGATGAGAAATGAGTAAGACATAGAGCTGTGCAGGGGAGGCAGCGTTCAGAGGGAGGAAACAGATAAAGACAGATCTATTATACAGTGTGACAATTGCTTTAATGGGAACGCAGCACTGGGAATGCAGTCAGGAGGTGAATGATCCCCATTGGAATGTTAGCTGCAAGAGAATAAGACTTTGTTTTCTTTACAGATGTGTCTTCAGTGCATGGAACAGGACCTGGCACATAGCAGCTACCCAATAAATATTTATTCTCAAGAACTAAAAATGCAAGAGTCGTTCTGAGAACAATGAGAAATCAGGGACCCTCTGGGGATTTCAGGAGGAGATGTACTTGGAAGGATAGGTTGAAAATAGATTATGGTTGACCTTGAATGCCATAATGAGAAGTGACTCAATTCTGTGAGCAAAGGGAAGACATTGAAAACTTTTGAGCAGGGAAGTCATATAATCAGAACTATATTTAATAGGTAGTCTTAATGATCCAAAACCACTGGAAACATCCAGAAATAGTGTGTGTTTGTGTTAAGACCCAGATGCAAAAATTGTCTGTTTGCTAAAAGAATTCTTTACTTTGGAAGAGCCAGAGGCCCTCTGAAAATCTGAGACCCAAGCAGAGATCCTGAACTGCTTGCCTAAAGCTGATTTTATGTGGGTTTGGTTTGGGAAGCACAGGATGGTGGCTGGTTGGTGTATTTGACTACCAATGGTAGTCAATGGTAGTACCAATGGTGGGCCTACCCACCATTCTATCATCTTACACCAAACCCAATTCTTTTAAGCCTGTATTTGTGTTCGCAACCCCTAGATTGATGTTTCAGCCAAGACGCATGAGAAAATCTCTTACCAAGAATGATTTCCTCTGCCTTTCAAAGTTATTGAAGGAAAATTCTCAAAGGCTGCCTATCTCTAGTAGCTTCTAATGAGTTCATTGTTTTGTTCATTAGCTTCATATGTCAGGAGTATCTTGACATTTGACACTTCTGTTTTGAAACTAATGATTTATTTATTTAAAAGAAGTGGGAGTTTTAAAGAAAAACAATTTTCCCTGGCAACAAAACACAAGGACAATTAATCACTAACTTTGGGAATTGAAGTGTAAACAGAAGATGAGATCACAGCTTTGCTATTTATTCCTTTTCTCTGCAGATACTAGCCGAACTCACTCCAGCCTTATTTCTGGAGAATGTGCCTCTCTGAACACAGTTGAAATGTCACTTCCTTGAACATCACAGCTGGTTTGTTATTTTGGTTAACTGAGTTTTCCAGATAGCTTAAGTTTAACCTAATGATAATTAAAAAAAATTTTTTTAGGTATACTGATTTTTAAAGTGCTTTATATAAATCCCTGTTTTCTTAGGTGAATCATGCTAACCCTTTATTGGTGATCCAGGGACATTGTTATGAATGTCAACCATCTTGGGGATACTGAGTTGTATAATGTTGCTTGCCCTGTTTTGAAGTCCCCAGACTATAATGCCTTTGCAATTCTCATGTCTTCTTTACATAGTGTTTTATTTCCTGTCTTTTTTATCAGTTTATTAGGTCAAATGTGTTATAAAGTAGAAACCAGTTAAGCTGTTTCTTGATAGAATTTAATAAAAATAAGGCTAAATAGATTTAGAATAAGGGCCTGAGAAAGGGATTCTTGTTTGAGTAACTGCTTGAACTAGAAGGCACTATCTTGGTGACCTCTGCTTTGGAGTTATGTAAGGCGTATGGACTTGGCACTTAGAAGTCCTGGGCCCTATTCCTGACTCTGTCATAAACTGTTATATGCTCACCTCCTCTCCAGCTCTCAGTTATCCACCTGGGTAAACCAGGGGTTTGAACTAGCTGAGCTCTAAGTTCTCTTCCACTTCTGACATACCAGTATTCTAACAAGTTATTATATCCATACATTAAATAAATCAACAAGAAGATGGTGAGCAGGAATCTCAACACGCAGATTGCTTCCTGCTGAAGAACTTGATGGACTTGAACTTGTTTGTGGTCTATAACCGTGTAATATAAAATCAATTACCAATGAATAGTCATGCCTTGAGCGTTAACGCTTCCAGACACAGCAGCCTCCTTCCTGTAATTTGGCATCCCCAAGGTCTCTTGGGTTCTATAGAGCTTGTAGCATGGCTACTTTCAAGGGAAACCAACCAGAGATAATTTGGATTAGAGAGAGACGTAATGAAGTTCTGTGATAAATAACCTCCAGGTTTAAGAATGTTTTCATGATGGCAGATAAACAGTCATTACCCTCAGAGCCACATGATTCCAGAGAAAAGATAAGCATGCCCCAGCTAACCCATGGGAAAATCTGAGCCATATATACCTTTAGAAGCAGGGAAGAGAAGTCCAGTAGCCTGGGGCCCTAGGAATTTAGCCTGTAACCCAAAATAGAGTCCTGGAGTATCAGAGCTAGAAGAGAGCTTTAAGGGCTGTTTTAATCCCCCTCTTTTTAGAGGAAACTGAGGTCCAGAGAGGGGCAGTGACTTGCCCAAGGGTAGAGAGATAACCACAAGCATTTCCTGATATCAATTTTGCTTTTGGAAACTGTTCTGACCCTGGAAAGTAACCTACCAACTCAGAGAATACATGACAAAAGACATAGACACTTTGCCAAACAGTTTTTGTGGCTCAAGGGTCTCTTGAAACCTTATCTTGGGTGCATGGACTATCTCCCAGAGAGGATGTGGCTCAGTGACAGCTCCAGCTGTAACTTAAACAGAGGGGTCACTGGCCCTGGTTAATATTTGCAGCCCCTGCTATGAATTGTAAAATTCTACAAAAATCATTTACCTCCAAGTACAGGCGCAGGATTGAGCCCTGGCTTCCATTTGGACTGTCCCATTTCTAGGGCCATCGTATTAACATGATGGAGAGAAATACCTTATCAAATGAAGACATAAAATTCATAGTAATAGAAAACCATCTGGCTGGGGATCACAGAGTCCTCATTTTTTATTTCTTATTATGGGCAACCAAGTCTTTTCAGACTATTGTAATTTAGGGCACCAACATGTGGATGCATGTCCCCAATTTGTTTTCTTTCAACTCAGTTCAACAAATATTTATTTACCAAGTCCTGTTTGAACTATAATGTGGAGGATGCCAAAGTTACTTATTTGTTGCATGAGCTTAATAAGCAAGTCCTCGGCCTCTGGGAATGTGAAATTTAGGAGAATAAGATAAGTACTCCAATGTGTATGTGTGGGTATTGTTGGGGTACAGTTATTGCAATGAAAGATGGGCAGCCCCAGGAGGTTAAGGAGGGAAAAAAATGCATCCAGCTGAGGGGAATCAGAAGACATTTAGGAGAAGAGAATATTCTTTGAGCTGGGATGGAAAGGTGAGTGAGATTTTAGCAGGTAGAATTAGTAGGTGGAGGGTTGTGGGGAGTAGGGAGAACATGTAGACAGAGGGAATAGAGAAGGCCTGGGGATGTTCATAGTCTCAATGTACCTCCCTTCCCACCACCACCTAATGTAGGGAAGAGGTGCTATGGAGAACAGGGAGCTGGGAAGAGAGATCTAAGAAGGAAAATCCAGAGTCTGTTTTCTGTGAATTTTCTACCTTATTAGAAACAGCACAAACCCCCTAGGCAAAACTAAGGCAGGGAAGCAGAAAAGTTGGCCAAATTTCTGTGGGAGGACAACTATGGCTGCTCTTCACATGTCCATAAAGTCACTTCATCAGAGTTCAATACAGGCATTGACAGCTCCCCATCAGCTCCTCAGAGCAATGTACAGAGAAAGTAGCTCAGGAGTGATTGTTCTTATTTTGTAGATGAAAAATTTGAAGGTTAGATAATTTAAATGAATCAGGCAAGGTCATTATCTAGTGAGTGGTTGCTCCAGGTCCACAACTGCAGCATCCTGCTTCCCTAGCTGATAAGGCTGATGCTCCTTTAAGGCATGAGGCAAACAAACAAAGGCTGTCTGTCCCACAGACCCAAATGCCTCAAGGCTTTGCTTGTCACTGTTCCCAAGCTACATTCTGGAGCCCCTCTGACATCTTCTCTGGGCCTTTGAAGAGGCTTTCAGAGCTAACTTTAGGCAGACGTTCAAGGAGTGGTGCTGGATTGTCCTGGTGTCAATTTAGTTAATCTACATTCCCAAGAATCTCCTTCCATGTATGGTTCCAGGGTAGAGTTGGCCAAAAGAAGAACTTGTGTGAGTTTAGAAGTCAACAGTCTTTTACTCTCTGAAGAGTTTTGTGATCAGATACAGAGATGGACAGATGTGGTTGTGCCCAGTAGGTTCTAACTTTCCCTCCCTCTCCTCTGCTCTGCATCCAGCTCTTCTTTTCAACCAGTGGCTCTGGTGACCAACAGTGGCCCAGATCTACCACCAGATGCTTGCAGGTGGACCCACAGAGGTGGTAGCTGCTCAGAGCCAACAGCTTCTCATAGAACTTTCCCCATGGGCTCCCCTTTCATGGTACTACTTTGGCTCCTTAGATGGGCTTGAATTTTCAGATTCCTCTGCAGGTGCCAACATTTCCACCCATGCCAGGGCTTCAGGAGGACTGACTTGTGACCTTTCTGTGGTCCTCCAACTCCCTGTCCCCAACCTTCACT